ACACTGTGGGGCAAGATTAACATGTCAGAATGTCCAGTAAAATGAACTCAACTAGGAAAATATATAAACACAGCATTTTCTCATTAAGAACATACAAAAGTACGTGCCAAAACCACACAATAGTTGTATATGATGCTATGAGATTTAAGTGTAAATGATGGATAGTTCTTGTTAGTTCATATAGGTAAATACCATTTGGTTTTGGGATTCTGCAAGGATTTATAGAAGCTCCTGAGACAATCCTTATGCTCAGCCAGGGCATACATTTCCTTGTATAGTGAACTGTGTGTGTTTGAGATGGAGGAGTATGCTCAGTGCTGTGCTTGGCTCCCCCAGAGGAAGAGTTTAGGTACCCACCCCTCTCTGTGTACATGTGTGAGAACATGTATTTGTGAACATGTTTATGTGTGAGAACCCTTTAAAATTTTTTATTAATTATTTTTGTATGTGTATGTAGAGTGTGTGTGTGTGTGTGTGTGTGTGTGTGTGTGTGTGTGTGTGTGTGTGTGTGTGTGTGTGTTCATGCACACACAATATTTGGGAGTTGTTTTGGACAACTTTTGGGAGTTGTTTTTTGCCTTCCATCAAGGGATCTGTGACTCTAAGTCAGGTGCATGTTTTCAGGGCAACCCATTTTTACCTGCTGAACCATCTCACTGGCATTCTGAGTCTGACTTATTTCACCTAGCACAACATCCTCCATTTTTAGGTTGTGGCAAATGACAGGATCTCATCTTTTAAAACAAAGACTAGTTGAGGTCATATGTCATATATTTTAGTTTCTTTATCTACCCATCTATCAGTAAAAAAGAAATTCTCAGAGTAATCAGGGTAATAGGACTGTGCAGTAAACGGTTTATGGTTTTCTATTGTAACATAATATATATATGTGTGTGTGTGTGTATGTATATATATGCATGTCATATGTGGCATACACAACAGATACACTTGTTGAAGTACATTATTCTTAATTCTTTTGATGAATAGAAGGGAGCCACTAGCACTTTAGTTGGGAGGAAAGCATGGAAGTAGCACATGTTTCTGGAATCCAAGGAATGCCCACTGTATGGAAAGCAGAGAGCCACAGTGAGGACATTGTGCCCCCAACTTGGAAAGAATGTTAGCTGAGTGGTGGGGCTGAAACAACAGAAGAATGGGTTCTGATCTAATTGACTTTGTGTGACCCTGCAGACATACTTTAAATAGTCTCTGCCTTCTTTTGTTAAATGCCCCTTGTCTAGTGGTATGTGAAGGGCTAATGAAAAGCTAGTAAGTGTGAGGTGTTTGGAAAAGTGAGAAAATTATTGGAAGTGGATGTGGTATTGATGTAGTTATTGACTTATTTTCAAGAAGACTCTTGAGAGTAGTTCATAAAATTGTAACAGAGACCTAG